GGTGGAGTGTCTGTATTTAAATATATATATATATATGCTTTATCATTCTTTTTTTTATGTGTTCCTTTCTTTCAGTTTCTGAACACACAAATTGGGATCTCTGGACACATCCATCGCCTCTTAGCAGGATCTATGGCAGGTATGGATAATATTTGCCTGTCTTTACTTTTTTTGCTGTTGTAAACATTGTGTGAACTCTTTTTATCTGTGCGTGTGTGTGCGCGCGTGTTACGTTTCCAGGGATGACTGCGGTGATCTGCACTTACCCTCTGGATGTGATTCGAGCCCGACTGGCCTTCCAGGTGACAGGAGATCATCGCTACTCTGGAATTCTTGACGTCTTCCGCTCCATCTTTCACTATGTGATTTTTCTAATGATACATTTTACAAACTTCAACTGAAATATTTATGAAGAGTTTACATTAAAAAGTTTGCTATTTGTTTTTAAAGGAGGGAATCGGGGGCTTTTATAGAGGGCTGACACCAACACTTATTGGGATGGCACCTTATGCAGGTAATCTTTGATGTTTTGTGTTAATAAAATCTAGGATCCTTTTGTCCTCCTTCACGTGTTTGAGATCTGTCTTCGTCTTTGTATTTGCTTCTTTTATGGTCCCATCTGCACTCTCCAAGGTCTTTCCTTCTTTACCTTCGGCACCCTGAAGAGCCTTGGCTTGAAGCATTTCCCTGAGCAGCTGGGACGCTCCTCGTCAGACAACCCCGACGTCCTTGTACTGAAAACCCACATCAACCTTCTCTGTGGAGGGGTTGCTGGTGCCTTTGCTCAGACCATCTCGTAGGCAGGCAATCACAAGGTTTTAAAGCTTAAGACTCCAAATGTGACTGGACTTTGTTAATAATTACGGATTTATTGGCATTTATTGCCATGTTTGGCTTTTTCTTACTAGCTATCCTTTAGATGTGGCAAGGAGAAGAATGCAGTTAGGTACTGTGCTTCCTGACTCTGATAAATGTGGGTAAGTATCTCCGCTGGTCATACCTTTCATGTTTTAGTGTTTTTAAGAATTAAGATGAATAATTTCCTCATGTCTTATGCGTATTCTGTCTTGGAAGTAAGGGACTGGATCTAGTTCATGTCGGATTAAAAATCAGAAACACAATTTTTAAGATTTAAGGACTGTTTTAAGTTGGATTAAAATGAGTGGGTGGAGTTGCATGTTCATATTTCGAAAGGCTTATTGTTTTTGTTTTGCCTCCTTTCCCTCATTATTTTTCTATGACTGTATAACGAGCTGCAGTCAAAATATGAGTAATACAAGTGCTTTTCATCACCTGGTTGTCGTTACCATATTTTTAGGCCTATAAGTCGTGATTTTTGCATAATTTGCATGCCCTGCGACTTATACGCCAAAGCGACTTATTAATATAATTTTTTTCCCCCCATACTTATAAACAAATTTTTGGCTGAGATATGACCATTTTCATTCATTCTGAAAATATTGAACATTAGCATTTTCAGCCACTAGATGGCAGTGGAGTATATGGTATGCCGTTGTGTCATATAATAGGTAAAAGTGGCTATTAATGACACAATTGGCTTGCCTTAGACTGCCACCTTTGTCCAGCTCGCCTGGAACAATCAAATCAGCTTCATTTCGCTGCGCCACCCCGGCAAAATGCAGTTAATTTGACCATTGAAGTGCATTAATTAAGTAAAAGTTCAACTGAGACACACCTTTGCTATAAAGTCGAGCAAACAAATAATTGTTTTAGGTGCTCATCTTGTTAAATGTCGAAGAAATGCACAGCGAGCCCTCCCGTGTACGCTCCTACTTCCGCATATCAGCTTTTCAAATGCAGCTGATTTGACCGTCAAAGTGCATTTATTAAGGACAAGTTAGACTCAGACAGACCTTTAATATAAAGTCAAGCAAACAAATATTTGTTTTTAAGTGTTAATTTTGTTAAATTCTTGTTAAAGTCCTCCCGTACACGCTCCCGCAGCTGCCATTTGGCAGCCAATCGATTTTTGGCACAACACCGGCTCACATTTCGGGGTTGTCAGCGGTGGCGCATAATAGATGCAACATATACGGTGAAGCTACGCATTTATGGATTTTTCCACTTTATTAGACATATTTGGACTGATGGGGCGGTGCGACGTGTACGGCAGAAAATACGGTACGATGCACAGTCAGTCCTTATTGTGAGGTCAATAGGCTTAATAGTCCCCATGTCACTCAAAAAGAGAAAATATAATTTATTTTTTATTTCTGTCAGGTTTGTTCAAACATTATTTTAAAAACTTTAATATACTCTGTCTTGCATGTGAGCAGATCACCTATCAAGACTCTAAAGTACGTGTATCAGCAGTACGGGATCAAGAGGGGACTGTACCGAGGCCTCTCTCTCAACTACATCCGCTGCATCCCGTCCCAGGCCATGGCCTTCACCACATACGAGTTCATGAAGCAAGTCCTCCACCTCAACTAGTCTTCTGGGCCTGCACGCTGTGATCGATCAACCGCAGTGTTACACTGGCACGTCTTGGTCCTCTTCAAGTTCACTGAAGGCCTCGCAGGATGAGTGAATGTGTTGGACTAGATCCTGTTTGTTTTGCTTTCTCCGTCTTTTGGACGTGTCACAGAAGAGATTGTTTTTAAATCCTCTGCTTTCTATCGAGACAATCCTCAGATGTGCAGGATCTCAGCCACTCACACAGCGAACACACACGTTCTTCTTTTTCTTGCTATTTAAAAGGAGTTTAAGGTTAAAATGATCAAACAAAATAATTATATATATTTTTACTATGAAAAATAAAAGATTTACATTTGCTCTTAAACTTGAAGGCAACATTTCTCATTACATGTGTACAGTTACACATTTTCTCTCTTTATTAGTCTTACTGTTGCCAACTGATGGCTGAACTTGAATGTTTTTTTTTTTGGTTTTTAAAAGTTTTTCCCATTCAAGTCTTAGCTTTTAAGAAAATTAGAAATTTTTTCCCATTTTTGGCTTTTTTTTTCTCTAAACAAATCAGCTGAAATCAGTCTCATTCTTTGGGATACGGTGACCTCTGTGCCACATCATTTTGTGCACAACGGCCTTCATTTTTCTCTTAAAGGAGCAGTCATCTTGTTTCTGTTTTCAAATGATGGAGAACATTTAGTTTAGACTCGGTATGTAAAGTCTTTATCTTTGATTTTGAATGATGTACATCCCAAAAACAATTTGACTTATCGATATTAGTTGACGTATGGAGGGATGAGTTTACCAGAGGGAGCTCAGGAGTAACTTGCACTGCCTTTTTTAATTTATTTTTATTCATTTATCAACCTGTTGCCACTAGGTGGCAGTATTGATACAAAATGATGTGTAGCCAGAGTTGTGCACATCAGCTGAACAAATACTAATTTTAATCCTCTTCTCAAATCTGAATGTGATTTTATTTTATTTAGCTTTTGCAGGTTGTTAAATTAAAATTCACATATCCAGTCTTTCTAAAACAGTTTAAATAACCCATGTCACCTGGTAACTTGAGCTCTTTTTTATCCTTTTCCCAAACTTAAACATTAAGTCATGTCTGAACGGGGTTCAGTAACATTAATCTGATGTTTATGTGAGGATGCTTTGCAGGCAGGGATTAATGACATTTCTCTGCACACAAGCAGAAACGCCTCTTCAAGCTGGTTTACTCAGAGTTAGGATGAATATAAATGTGGAGCATTAGTGAAAAGCAGAAGTTTTCAAACCAGAGGGTTTCAAAACTTGCTTTTTGGCTTGTGAAACATCTAACTGAAGCCACGTTTAAGTCCTCATCGCCGGTTCATCAACCAGAGAGGGATGTTTACTTTCCTCAACTTCTCATTTCATTAAAAGAACCGAGGGTGTCCCAAAGATGATTTCACACAAAACAAAGACAGAATAAAAGGAATTAAATTAATTTGGTTCATCGTTTTTAGTTTTACCTCCCAGGAAACTAAAACTTATGCACATCAAACTGGATTTTAAATGGTCGTGCTAAAGCTAATCATATTGTAACCGTTCACATATGATATTAAAATCATGAAAATAAAACCCACAGACTGAACTACTTTAGGTTTTCTTTTTTTTAGCAGATGAAGTATTTGGCTTATAATATGGAAGCTTCTGGTCTAAAACAGCTGTTGAACCAAAATTATAATAAAAACTGTGTAAATGTTTTATAGATGGTTTAGCTCATTACAGTAAATTAAAAAAAATGAATATTTGTTTTGTTTTAAATGTAAAAGTTTAATGACTTAATATGACCCAGATAAAAGTTTTTGGTAAAGTGTTTAGCTGATTTTTGTTCATTTCGGCTCTGTTCTTACAGCTGACTGTAAACAAATAGAAGAGTAATCTGATATTTATGTATAAATGTACATATTTACCACACGTGGTACAGTTTGTTCAGCTTTTGTTAGATGTGACTGAAAGATGATAAACTGTTTTAAGAATCTCTTTTTGTATTTAATTGATTTTTTTTCTCCTTTTATATATATATATATTTTTATCAGCACTGTTTGAATTACACTGCACGTGCCAAGCTTTATATTTAAATGTTTAAACTTAAAGAATATTTTCTTTTGAATGATTAAAGTTAGCAAGCTTTTTATATGTATGTATTTATATTCAGTTCAGTTTATTTATATGGAGCCAAGTCACAACAGAAGTCATCTCAGGGCACTGAACAGAATCATATATATCAAGTTCAAGTAGGTTTATTGTCATTCCCACCACATGTGGTACATGAGCTGGAACAAAATGATGTACTCAGTGTCCCAGTTACACCCAACACTAGCAAAAATATAAAGTGTAAAAATAAACAGTATATAAGAATCTAAGATATACACCAAACACTAATAATGTAAAACAATACGGCGTAACAACAGCAGCCGAACACGAGTCTGTGTGAGCAAATGGGTATGAATGAATACAGCAGCATGAAATAAATCAGCAGCATAAGATCAGCAGCTCGGATAAGTTGCAAATCACCAATTAAAGTGACATTACAGTGATTTGTCTGGTTAGGGATTCATGAGTCTAGCCGCTTCAGGGTAGAAGCTGTTCCTCAGTCAAGTGGTTCTACACTTAATGCTCCTCAACCTCCTTCCTGAGGGGAGTGGGGCAAAAAGTGTGTGTACTGGGTGAGTGGGGTCCTTCATGATGCAGGTGGCCCTCTTCCTGCATCTGGAGGTGTAGATGTGATGGTGGGGAGGCTGACTCCCAACAGAATTCTGTGTGGCCTTCACCACTCTCTGCAGAACTTTCTGCAGCTGTGCAGCCTGCATGCCATATCAAAAGTAAGTTAATAACATTATTTATTTGAGGAGCAGACTGCTCTGAGTTTAACTTCATCACAGATTCATCTTGAGCAAGCATGAAGGCGACAGTGGAAAGGAAAAACTCCCTCATGAGGAAAAAACCTTTAGCAGAAGCAGGCTCAGGACAAGTGGTCATCTGCTTCGACCGGTTGGGTTTGAGAGGAACAGGAAGGAGGAACAGATACACAATGGCAGGTCGAGAATCACGTTAAGATGGTATCAAACGAAAACTATTCAATTTTAACAATTCATTTAAGGAAATGAGGTCAGTTTGTCCTCCAGTAGTCTAAGCCTACAGCAGCATAACAAACCAATCCTAACTATAGGATTTACCAAAAAGGAAAGTCTTAAACTGGACAATGTGTCAGCCTCATGGACGGAAACTGGAAGTTGGTTCCACAAGAGAGGAGCCCGATAACTGAAAGATCTTCCTCACATTCTGATTTTGGAAACTATAGGAACCGCGAGTAAGCCTGCAGTCTGAGAGTGAAGTGCTCTGTTAGGAAAATATGGAACAATAAGATCTGTAATATAAAGTGGAGCTAGGGTGTTGAGGGCTTTGTAGATTAGAATTAAGATTTGTTGTTTATCATTTATTTGTTGATTATTTAGATTTATTTATTTTATATTTTCAGTGTATTGAGATTCAGGGTTACAACAGATTCCTGTCAATGTCAAAGTTACAGTTTTAAAGGCTCTCTGATGCATTTGCATTGATTTGACTACAAGTGGAACACACTGCCGGCTGTTGTTCGATGTCCCACACTAATTTGGTTGGGAAATGAAATGCGTGGATGTGTGTGAGCACAACTCATTTTATATTCCTGTTATAAGATAAGTGCAAGTAAACAAACACACAAAAAAAGTCACAATTTTTGTTAAAGAATTAAACTGTGAAATAATTTCAGTACTTGCAGATTGTACTGTGTAGCCTTTTTATTTGCTCTGTTTCCTTTCAGGACCACTGGGTGGATGGTGTGTGTGTGTGTGTGTGTGTGTGTGTGTGTGTGTGTGTGTGTGTG